CCCCCCCCCCCCTCCACCCTTGCACGTCATAAGTGAACGGCCCCTAATTCTTCAGGCTCCGAAACAAAAAAAAAAACTCCGAGAAAATAAGTTCTTCGCTCTGACTTCCAATAATAAAGAAAAGAGCAACTTTCATGTTAAAATCATAAATTGAATTGTCGGCATTTCTACTTTTGATCTTTCTTAAATCTTCTCCTTCTATTAAGCCAATTAGAGGCACCTCTTCTCTCATAAATGCTGTTAGCAAAAAATAAAAAAAAAATTCCGCAGCTTTTATATAAAATCACACATCACATTTAACAGCAGATGTAAAAAAATGTTACTGACTCTTTAGATATGTTCAAATGTGTCATATTGTATGAATTCTTAAGTGACATGATTGGCATAAAATTTTGGCATTAATTATGGGAAGAGAAATTTGTGAGCTTGAGCTTCTGAATTGTATTTTTGTTTTAAAATTTTTTTGACAATCAATTAATTAAATAAAATTGAAGATAATTGCCTAGCGTGATTCATTCATGTGCTATAAATTCCTCAACGTGATGAGAATTCTGTTACTGTTAATGAAGATTTTTTTTTTATAGAATGTGAAAAGCTTTTGATTGAATGAGTGTGGCTTGTTGTTGTAGAGACTACGGTCGATAACTAATGATAAAGAAAAAATTCATTTTGACTTACCAAAGTAGATAAAGAGTCTAAACATCATAAATATTAATGGACGTCATTTATGAATGAACCCTAATATTTTTAATTTTAGAAATTTTACTTTAGTTGTCATTAAATTAAAAGTTTGAATTTTTCAAAGTTTTTCACCAATTTTCAATTTTCGAACATCCGAACCCCCTGTCCCCCCTCTTTTCCCTCCAAAAAACATTAACATAACCTCTAATTCCAAACTCACAACGCTTAACCAAAAAACCTTTCACAAATCAACAAAATCTACTCTATTTTCATGCCTTTTTTCTCACTCTCAACATCATCAAAATAATAAAGCGCGCCTTTCAATTACTTTTGAATACAATATCCAATAATTTACAGATTAATTTCTGCCTTCTTACAGAAAATTGGATTAATTTAATTGCTCCGCGGGGCAATGAGCTTTAATCGAAGTTTTTATGAAGAGAATGAATCAAGAAGGAAAGAAGTGGAAAAAAATCAGATTTGTATTTCGTTACGCAATGATGGTGGCAAATTAATAAATAAGTTGAAGGGGAATAAGGGGATGGTTGTGGTGAATAAGGCGCAGTTTTTGATGGATGTATGGTTTGTTGTATGAAACTAGATTGCTAAGTTCGATTTACTTTCTAAAGAGTTGATCACTGGTGCCAATGAGGTTTAACAGGGGTTGAATTCAGTTGTAGTCATTCCTAAGAATTAAGAGCTGGTCATTGGTCCAAAACTGATGAAAAACTATTAAATTTACAGCTTATCAGGTTCGTATGTTTAGTCTAGTAATCTAATTCATTAGTAATCTAGTAATCTAGTCCTCTAGTACTCCAGTACTCTAGGAATCTAGTATTCTAATACTCTAGTACTCCCGTAATTTAGTATTCAAGTACTCTAGTACTCGAATACTCTAGCAATCTAATTCTCTAGTACTCTAGTATTCTAGTACTCAAGTAATCTAGTAATCTAGTAATCTAGTACTCTAGTAATCTAGTTCTCTAGTTCTTTAGTAATCTAGTACTTTAGTAATCTAGTACTTTAGTAATCTAGTACTCTAATACTCTAATACTCTAGTACTTTAGTAATCTAGTACTTTAATACTCTAGTCCTCAAACACTCTAGTAATCTAGTACTTTAGTAATCTAGTTCTCTTGTCCTTTAGTTCTCTAGTCCTTTAGTAATCTAGTACTTTAGTAATCTACTACTCTTCTACTCTAGTACTCTAGTACTCTAGTACTCTAAAACTCTAATACTCTAGTCCTCGAACACTATACTTTTCTAATACTTTAGGAATCAAGTACGCTAGTACTCTAGTAGAAGCTTAGGAATTTAAAATTTCTGGAGTGGTTGCAAGTTGTGTAAATATGGTAGCTTAAAATAGTTTCCCCAAATCTGACAAACTGCTCTATCGTCCAATCCAAAACCATCCACAAAAACCAGCTCCATCACTTATTAGTTCTGTTATTCTTTTACCATTAGATACAACAGAGCACCATAAAGTTTCCCGTAATTGATATGCTTGATATTTTGCGATGTAAATAAACTAAAGACCTTTTGAGGCGTATTTGTAGGTATGAAAAATATTTCCATCATCACAAAAATAAGCCATAATCGCCATCTATCGTGTCTTATAAAGTCCTACGCATTCGTTTAGATCCACTTAGAAAATTTTGAATTTCTCATCACTGGAATATTTTTTTGGAAAACGGTTTTCAGTTTTAAAACAGTTATTAGTAATGGGATTAATTAATAAAATAATTGGAAAACTATCTTACTTCCTCTCGAAATAATCCTTAATTAATTGAAAATTACAACAACAACAAGTCGCATTCGTTTAGATCCACCACAAAGAATTATTTAATTTATGAATGATTAGTTAAGTTTAATAATCTATTTGCTTTCAATTTCGATTAACAAGCTTAAAAAGTCTGTTGGGCTTTGAATTTACTAATTTTTCGAGCGTTTCTAAAACAATTTCTCGCCAAAAATGCCATACTGCCACTTCGAACTCTTGGACAGATGAATACTTACGTCAACAATTATAAACGTTACGTGCTAGTATGCCCGAAAGATTCTTCATCGCGTTAAGATCATGTGAACGTGATAGCCAATCCAATAAATCGATTTCAATGCTTGAGAACCATGCCTTTGATTCCTTGCTCACATGTATTGCTGCATTGTCTTGCTGATAAATGAATACTCCTTCCATGAAATCATCAGAAAATGGTATCAAAATGTCATTCAACACTTCAATATAGTTCCGGGACTTCATTCGAGTCGAGATTTTGACCAAAGGCGTCTTTCCATACATAAAAAATGAATGAAAGATCCTCCAGCAAAGTTACGACTATAATTAAACTTCTTATCCTTACGCAAATCATGCCATTTACATGAGAAACCATCTGGACCATCCATTAAATTTCTTTTCATCAGAAAAAACCACGTTCGTCCATTTAGTACTCCAATTAAAGTACTTTTCTGTCCAACGTAGTCTTGCAGTTTCATGCTAAGGTTTTAGGAATGGTTGTTTCATTTTTTTAGTATATTTAAAATGACCCGTTTGTTTCAATAATTTTGCTACATGCTTATGACCGATCGGCAATCCAAGTTCAGTCACTAATTCTCTTAATGAATGATTTCTAGCTGATGCAAGAGCCACTAACTGATTCTTTTGGCGTTTTGTAATTTATGAATTTCCTTTTGTCTTCTTTTTTGGGCCATAGCTTGAACCTTTTTTGCAAGTAATTTCCGATAAAATGATGACTTCTATCAATTCTACGTGCAATTCCCCGATTTGATGTGCATAATGAATGCAGCTGATCGACTACAGCCTTCTCAGTCTCTGTTAAGTAATAATATTTTGGCATTTCTCCGAAAATTATTTTATATTGTTCATTTTTATAAAAAAATATTCTTTAATACTAGAGCAATATTATTTAAATTAAAAAGGTTCATTACATTTTGAATTTTCCAATAAAACATTTTATTCTTTGTGGTGGATCTAAACGAATGCGACTTGTTGTTGTTGTAATTTTCAATTAATTAAGGATTATTTCGAGAGGAAGTAATATAGTTTTCCAATTATTTTATTAATTAATCCCATTACTAATAACTGTTTTAAAACTGAAAACCGTTTTCCAAAAAAATATTCCAGTGATGAGAAATTCAAAATTTTCTAAGTGGATCTAAACGAATGCGTAGGACTTTAGTACTTAATTTAATATGATATGATAGATATTAAACAGTTGCAAGTTGCAAGATCGCATGATGCATTTAATGTTTCAAAATTAAATTAATGATAATAAATGTAGAAATATCTTTCATTGTCTATCTATCTTATAACGACTTAAGAACTTTTCACAATTATAATGACTTAATCAACGTCTTGAATGCATCCTTAGCTGCATAGTTGTTTGATAGTAGTTTTAAATAATGATTTGGATGAGAATTACTATGATTATGTTGTGAAAATTACTTAATTGTGGAATTATTAGCTTAATAGAGTTATTGGATGATTAAAAGTTGACAAAAGGAGCTACGCTAGTGTTTTGGATGCTATGCTGTTGATGAGAGAGGTTTATCGTCGAAATATTATTGAAAATTGCAATTTTACGTTAAGATCACGCAATTTAGAGTTTGGGAAGGGTTCAAATCCTAGAAATGTAGGTCGTACCCAAACGTAATCATCTGCTGATAGGCAATCAATCCTATTTCTTTTCAATTATTCACAAAACCGTCCACTGGAAGTTCAAAAAAACTTGAAAGATTATTAAGTAAAGAAGAGATTTCCCGCTGTGATTTTGGTGCTTCCACAATCTTTGAAATTAATTGAGGCATTTTTCACTGAGATTCGGTGCCGATTGCCGATGATGATGATGGTCAGAAGGAAGCGAAGATGAAGAAAAGTGATTGCACGTGTGAGGTCAAAATTTATTATATGTGTGGCAAATCACAGCTTTTTAATGTTTCGGTCCCCAACAATCAACCTGTGCCTGTATGATGATTTTCTGGATGCTGTAAATAGAGTGTGGATGATTAATTGATTGAGACTTAATTTGTAGGTGAAAATTTCTATTAATTGCAGTTCCTTAATGTTAGTCAATGCCACCCACGCACGTCCATCTTCACCAAATTTTTCATGCATTTATGTCAAGACCAAAGGAACCGAATTCGCGAGGCGTCAAGCTTATTTTCATTTTATATCTTAAATCTCAATTTAGTCTTTCTTTTTTGTGTGTATGTGCTGCATTGCATCTTAGGCATTCAAATTCAAAACAAGGCAAGCCAATTTTATTCTTGTACTTCAACGTCCTCGCTCCATCTCACTTCCACACTCATTCATTTAACCATGCATTCATCATGCATTCTGCAATTGTCGGCAAATTTTCTTTGATCTTTTTCTTTAATAACTTTCTTGTTGCCTTTCCTTGCTCTTGCTCTTGCTTTGCTTTCTTGAAAATCTCAAACAGAACAGCAACAACAACAAGCATAAGAATAGCACTAAGAACCGCAACACATCATACATGTCTAAGTAATCGTTCATATTATGAATTTAAATAAATTGAATTGAACTGAATTTCAAGCAAGCTTTTGAGCTTTCCTTAATAGACGCGCCACACAGGCACTACTGCTTAATAATTTTCGGCACAAAAAGGCATAAAAATGGAAATTATACATGATGTGATTTGCTGTATAAAAATTAAAATCATTTCACGAGCCACGAGTGGTAGATGAGACTCCATTTTTAATCCATACTATTTACTTCATTATGCTGCTTATTGTCCACATCACATCGTGATTTTCATTTGATCAAGAATTCTTTGCAGGCATCCATTATTTCCATCATAATTGCTAGTATTGTTGATTGCTGATGATGAGCAGTACTTGATGTCTGTGAAATTAAGTTTTTTTGGGCATCGCCTTTGGATGGAGAATTTTTGGAAGAATTAAATGTTTTTGAGGTTAGGAGCACCTGGATATTGGATATAGTCATTATAATAAATGAGAATTTTATGCTTAACTGACTTTTTGATATCCTTAAGGATTGGATTCTCAGTTTTGACATTATTTTAAGTTACTTGGACCATTTTTGAGCACTTACTATGATTATAGAGGCACATATTATTCTTAAAATTGTTTGGTTCCTTAAAAGCAGTTCCAGTTGAGCTTAAAATCAGTAATCTCATCCAAAACTCACCATTTGCCATACAAAAATGTCTCCATTAAAAGTCTGTCCACAACAAATAGACACAATCTGCATCAGTGGCAGTGAAAAATGAGCATACAATGTAGAAATCATAACTAAATAGTTGGAGATGATAGAAATGCGATAACGAAAGCAAATGAGGATTAATTAAATTAAGTGAAATCTCTCATTCTCAATTAGACGAATGAAGAAGCGCCATTGCGTGATTTTTTGTTCCGCAAATTTTAATGAAGTTATGTGAAGTGTTGCTTCTTACTTACTGTGCCTTCCATTTCTCCCCTTTTGCTTCTTCTTTCTGCTGTTGTTGCTGTTGATAATGTTCATATTAAATGAATTAAGTTACTTATTTTAACCAAATATGAAGCATCAATTAATTATGCTACAACATTCTTCATTCTCTGTGCCTCCATGCCTCTGTGTGTGATTTTTACTGTACTTTTGTGTTCATTCACATTACGACGATTATAATGATGATGATTGCCAATTAAATTTCATGCAATGTTGTTCTGCACTTCCAACTTTACTTTGTCTTTTTTTACTGCTGTTGCTGCTGTCATTGTGAATATTTTTAATTGATGATGAAATTGCGCATGAATTATAATTATTATTTTAATTAACATTAGTAAAGTTAAAAGAGCGAATGAAGTTCTTACTTTGTAGTTTTTCAGGCACTGACGATGAATGTCATTTGAGCTTGAATTTTGAGACTTTTGATGATTTTCAACTGAAAGTTTGAAGTTAAAGTTTGTTAAAATTTCAAAGATTGCTGAGTTTACTTTAAAGTTTTGATTCAAATGTCCAAACTTTTACTTTAATGAATATCATTGCTAAGACACGATCCAAAGCTAGTCATTGATTCCCAATTGTGCCAGATCAATTCCAAATCAACTCCAATTCTAATCAGAAATCCATAAAAATTAGAAAATTGAAATATTCTATCAATTTCCATTTCCAATCAGCACCAAGCAGAAGTAAAACTGTGAAAAGTTTTTTCACCTCAATTTGATCCAATTCCTTTCATATTTGCCGATCAATCAGCATTTCAATTATTCTCATTGCCTTCATTTACTGATTACTTACCGATCATAATTGTAATCATCTCTAAATGCAACAGCTTCTGTGCTGCAAAACTAAATTGAAGATTTTTCTCACCCATTAAACCAATTCGCATTTTGGATGAGAGTGAGTAGCTGCAGAAGTAGCAATAAGTTAATGAATCACGTAAAAAATCGAATTTTTGCAATAAACTTAATTTAAATTTCTATAATCTGAAAGGAAGTGAAAGATCTGCATGAAGTGCTACTGTGAGATGATTTTGAAGTAATTATGAAATTATTGGATGCAAACATTGTGTGAAATGGATATAATAAATAAAAATACATTTTGTGGTTTTATTGAGTAATTTTTTTTGGGGTTTGGGAAAATTTTCTCAAGTTTAATATCATTTAAGGTTCTTCTTAACATCCACAAATTGCCCTTTGGTCAATTCTTTTCATCACTGTTTTTTTTTGATGGAATTTTTAGATTAATTGAGATTGTTTTATGGTTTGATGCAGTTTCATGAAGCCTGAGAAATTTTTTTTTGAAGGAATTGAATTGGAATTATGATAATATTGAATTTAATGATGCTTTGAGGATAATCAAGATTATTTTATTTTATTCTCTTCAATCAGAACAATTGATGCAATTTAGGGAAATGCAAAGGTTTTACAACAAATGATTCAACACCTTTGGTTCTCAAGATGCAGACAAAGATTTTAAGATAATCAAGTCAAGTCTTGATCGAAGTTAAAAGATTTGAAAGTTGTAATTGATTTTTAATGTTACTCTACAGCTAATAATCCTTATAATGTTTATCATTTCTCTGTCAAGAAGCAAAAGTGCCTTGATAGCTCAGTTGGCAAGGTAAAGATCACGAATGTTGGTGTTAAATTTTTGACTCCCGGGTTCGAATCCCACCACCAACTTAGTGATTTTTCAGAAGTTTAGATACATTGGCTTCTTGGGTGCAGCAGTTTAAGATGTAAAACTAAGAATTAGGCGATATGAGATGTAGGTGTAGCGGCTGAGCGGGTCAAAAATTATGGAGACAGAATAAGAAAGGTAGAAGAGCCACAAATTCACCATAAAGGGCTTTTACTGGAACGGACCTGTAGACATTGTGACTTATTTGGAACGAGAGCTGATATGAATGCTAGTTCTAAGATCGAATGATGATTTAATTGGCTGCTGGACACACAACTGCTTAGTGAAAATTATGCGCTATTTACTGAACTAGCGTACATAATATAGATTTAAGAATTATTAATGTTAGGAATAGAATTGTAGCGCTTAAAGGTTTTAGTAACACTGATCCGATTGGAACACATTGAAATTCATTGAAGTGCGGCTGCTGCTTGGTTCTAATTATACTATCAACCCGGCTGTCGGGTGGTAAACATTTCAATGTGTGCCGATCAGGTGATGCATAATTTAAGATGAATAAATTGAATTGAATTTCTTGATTGAACAAGCCTCAAAAATGGTTTACCAGCTCTTTTTTATCAGATTTTTCTCCAACTCTATGAAACAATCTTTCAATAATTCTAATAATATATATTACAATCATAATCATCATTATTGCTATTATTTGAAATAAAAAAAAACATGATACCATCAGCAGAGCTCATATTATTCTATTTCCATATCTCTTTCTATACATTTGTACTAATTTGTATATTCATTAATCCAATTGGTATCAAAAATATGTGAGTATGTGGAACAGAATAGCAAGAAAAGAGAGAAGAAAGTTGAGGGGTAGAAATGAATATTTAATATATATTTGAGGGTTATCATAGCAATGGCTCTAGAAAGAAAGTTGAATAAATATTAACATTTCCGATTAAAAGGTGTTCTCGCCTTTATTCTTTAGCATTTAAATGATATTCTCATTTCATATAAATTAAATACACATTCTTACCTCTATCATTATTAACTATCGTACCTTTTCATAGACTCTTATTATTAATATTATAATAATTTGTATAATCCACAAATATACACAAGCACAGATGAAGGTAGAACCAACCATCCACAATGCGGCCTAAGTGAAACACGTTTCCGATGTAAAAACTTAATTAATATGTTAGAAATGCTGAAAATATACCGCGACGAATCGCAGCCATTGTTATTTCATGAAAATTTCATTCTCGTTTTGTTTGGGAAGGATTGCAGGTCTTACAAGCCACAATTTATTAATCAAGATCTTCTCGAGAGAAAGAATAAAGAGATTGTTCATTATCTTGCAAAGGAAATAAATCTATCCAGTCATTGTGAGGTCTGTTTTCGTGAATTTAACCCCTTGGTGTCTTTAAAAAATAAGAATAAGCATTAGATGCTTCATCAATGGCTACCTACCTACCTTCGTCTCATTCTCGTTCCTTTGTTATATCATCTCTCTCTACGCTTCATTCACGGTGGTCTTACAAGCAACCGCCTTGTCTATATTCATTAATTTTATCTGGCTGATGGCTTGCGGCTGCTTAAAGTTGATTTTAAGTACACATTTACTATCTTACTTCATACTTATGGCTGTTAATGAAGTATTAAATTTGTTAATTTGAGTTATGACAATTATTTTGATGAATGTTGAATTAATGAGTTACGACATAAGATGCTTTTAATAATGTTTAAGCTTCTTTCGCTCATATTCGTTGTTTCTGCATTCGTTGGATGTTTAATAATTTTATTGGAGGCATTATGAAGGAGATTTGGTTGGTGTAAATTTAATTTATTTTTCGCTTGATTTTTGGTGAATTTTTGAGCAGGTTGTAAGAGGTTTGGTTGTCTGGTCTGCTGATTTTGAGACCTGTGAACTACTTATCATGAGTAGTACTACTACTACTTATTTTTCGTGTATGTAGGTATGGTTGTGAGTAGTCAAAAAGTAGGGATCTTAAGATTATGGAGGTATGGTTGTTCGGTCGTCTGGTTTTGAGACCTATGAAACTTTATACTTATCATGAGTTTGGCCAAGAAGCATGGCTATTTGGCGTAAAATACATTTTCATCAATATTCAAAAGAATCCTGGTTGCATCAGTGGTAGATACTCAAGCCATAAAACCCAAAAAATGCGCTCTAACAACTCAACCTATCACAACTTACCTTAATTAACTTTTATATTGACTTATACGCTCCTCTCATTGCTACATTACTTTGTATCGACATAAAAAAAAGTGTGCTCACACATTCGAGACTGTCACAACAGCTATGGCAATGGAAGTATCTTATAAGTATTATAAATATGTCAGTTGTTTATTAAAAATATTGAAGAGAAATCTCATGAGAATTATAAATTTCATCATGATAAATTCTCTAAAGATTAATATTTTTATTTTCATCTCATAGGCTGCTCTTAATTACTTAAAGATGAGAAATGAGAGTGAAAATTAAAATATATTTTATTATTTTTTTTTCTAACGATGAATGGTTAATGGTGTGTGGGAATAATGAAGAATTTGAGAAATTAGCGGTTTGGGGATTGAACTAAAGGTTGCGGAGGTTTGAAGGCTTAGGTTTGGGGTTGTTTTGAAGTGATGTCTTGAAGTTATGTTCCGGGAGAGTATGGATGTAGTCAGGAAAGGGTCTAGTAGGTTAAACAGGAGTAGAATCTGGTTGAGTGAGGTCGAATGTAGTCGTTTAAGATTGAATGGAGCAGTATAAGGTCATACATATGAAGTTAAATATGCTCGAATGGGGTTCAATATGCTCGATTGGGGTTCAAAATGCTCGATTTAGGTTCAATATGCTTGAATGGGGTTCAATATGTTCGATTGAGGTTAAACATGCTCGATTGAGGTTCAATATGCTCGATTGAGGTTCAAAATGCTCGATTGGGGTTCAAAATGCTCGATTGAGGTTCAATATGTTTGATTAGGGTTTAATATGCTCGATTGAGGTTCAATATGCTCGATTGAGGTTCAATATGCTCGATTGAGGTTCAAAATGCTCGATTGAGGTTAAATATGCTCGATGTAGGTTCAATATGCTCGAATGAGTTCCGAATCGGGGGTTTTGCATGTAGAAATAGCATCTAAATCAAAAATCAAATCTAAATGCACCCCTAACATGACCCTCTCGCTCAAAAAGCCCTCAAAACGCAATAAAACTTAATCAATTTAAGCCTCAAAGAAGAAATCCAATTTAAAAGATGAATAAACTTATTCCTTAATAAAACTCACCCATGGATCTCATGTATTTGCTCACAATCACATCCATTCATCCATCTAAATAACCAGTCATTACAAAACATCAATTCATCCATAAATCTTTTTTGTAACTTTAAAGAAGAATCATGTTCATCATCAACCGTCGTTTGTTGTCGTTGAGGAGAAGCTGAAAAAAAAGGCAATAACAAATCACAGGCAACAATGGATGAAAAGAAATCCCAACATTATCACACGATTGTTGCTCAAACACATACAAAAGCATCACTGTCCCTATTTTTTTCTCCTGTCAATGCCGACAAAATAGTTAATTTATTAGGTGGAAGTTATTTGTTTTCATTTTGTCACACAAAAGAGATTTATTTTTATTTATATAAAGCAGCACAAAAAAAATAAAGTAAGAAAGCGAGGAAGAAGAAAAAATTTCAATTAAATCCAATTTTTATTGCAATTAAAATTAAATTGAAAAAAGAAGTGAAAAGGAACAACAATGTGCAATCACATTAATGTAAAGATTTCAATTAATTATAATTATGTTTCAACTTATGGCGGGGATGAGAATTTAATGCTATCTACTTTGTGCAACGCCTTTTTCCTCTCTCGCACATTTTTCTATCACAAATGATGAGTTGGCAGGCTGAGCATTGCAATTAAAGTGATTTAATTAAGTCAATAGAAAAAATACATTTTGATGCTGTCTTGTAATGACTGTTGAGTTTGTAGAATTGTGAGTAAGTTAATGATTATGTGATGGGTTTGGTGGTTGTTGAGGCGACTAAGGCGGTTCTAGATTGAGATTATGTCGTGTTCTTGTTCTGTGGTGTCTGGATCTTGAGTTAAGTGGTTTGTTTCTAGAGCTACTTAAGGTCAGGACTCTAGGATTAAAAGTTGACCGGATCAGCATACATTGAAATTCATTGAAATGTTTGCCACACGGCATCCGGGTTAGTAGTATAATTTGAACCAAGAGAGCTTCCAAACCTTTTGGCTAAGTTCTAATTATACTATCAACCCAGCCGCCGTGTGGCAAACATTTCAGTGAATTACAATATGTGCCGATCGGGTGCTGGACTATAATTTGAAATATCATCATAATTTGGTGGAGAATAGGCATGGGTGCCATAAAAATTAGCCACAGAGCACAAAATGGACAAATTAAAGTCAAATCTGAATCAACGCAAGTCGACCAAATCCTTTAAAGAAAACTCAACTACTTTGAGTCAATTTTGAGCTCTAGTTGAGGTGAAAGGGGAGATAAGACTTTAGGATTCGTTCATAAATGACGTGCAACTTAGTGTACAATGGTTTTAATCTGTTAGATGTTTTAAATAAGCTTAAGCAGCACCAACTCATAGATTTGTGTTTTGTTGAAGCCAAAGGGGGATTAAGAAAGCCCGAGTCTGACTCCGAAGCTGACCAAATGTCAAGTGTAATTCATCTGATATACACCCCTAGCAACCGAGCCCTGTTCCGGGATATGAACTTGAAAGGATTTATTTAAATTCGTCCAAATGACCTTGTCCAGAGGGTGGTAGCCCCAAAATCAGGCTAGGGATGGCAACTATTTCCAAAATCATCTTGTATGAAGGAAGAATCAGAAGGTTAGCAGAAATGGAAGCAAAATCAGTTTTTCCAAGACAGAAAACATTTAGGAACTGCCCATAATTAAAATTATTGCACATAATCCAGCTCTGATTTCAGCTATATTTGCCTCAAACCTCAATTCCTCATCTAAGATTTCCAAAAATATCACAACAATTCAGTCAAAATGAACACCTTACAATATTCATCCACGTGACAACTTTTGCACTTAGTAAATGCTCGTAAATTTAAAAATTATAAGACGTACGGTCGCAAAACTACAACTAATTATAATAATCTTTATAGGAAAATTACCTCTCATGAGGCTGCTTGATGCAACTTTTAATTGTAAAAATTTATTGCTTAAAAGATGAAAGAAAATGTGTTTTTTTGCTTGACTTTTTTGGCGAGCAATTTTAATGAAGAAGACTTTTTCGTTTCTAATTACTTGTACTTTATGCTAGTGATTTATATTAGGGAAGTGGATTTGGTTTTGATTTTTGTAAATTTTTAAAATTGACTTTTTTGAGTTTAATTTTAAATTTGCATCAAAAAAAGGATTTTTTTTCAATTTTTTTAAAATAATGACTAGATGCCAGACAAATATCAAATTTTGCGTGTCTAAGCAACTCAAAATTCATGTTTTATTTTTTATATTGATTCTTAATATTTTGTATGTTTTGAAATTTTAATTGATATTTGATATATTAGGAAATAAATATGATTTTTTAAAAATATTAATATGCTATAAAAGTTGCTTTTTAAGGGTTGGAGAGGCTCAAGGATGTTGAAAATCATTTTTTTAAGAATCCTGAAAATTGAAAAAATTTAAAAAAATAACTTCAAATTTTTTGATTTAATTTCATTAAAATTTATTTCAATATTTCCATAATTTTTTTAATTTAAATTACTTTATCTATTATTTTCATCTCTAACATTATCATCATAGCCAGTCTTTACCTAAATTTAATATTTACAACAAAAGACGAAGTACTTTACTCAATTACAGTACAGAATCTTGATAAGAACTAAATGCTGATGCTCAATTAACTGTGCTCAACATGCTCATGTACAATTTTCTTCTTCAAAATGTTCATGTCATTGACATTCTCGAGGAAACTTTTATGTGCTGTTAATAGTTTGACACTTTCGACGTCCTTTTTCAGCTCTTCCATGTCTCGCTTTAATTTTGCCCTTCTGTTTTGGAACCACGTTATGACCTTTTTTGAGTGAAATAAATTGAAAATTAAGTTAATAAAATAAGAACTTTTTTTTGATTAATGATTGGCTTACCTGTGCATTTGAGAGACCCAAGGCGGCAGCAATTTCATCACGATCAGCAGGTGAGAGATATTTTTGATAAAGAAATCGCTTTTCGAGCTCAAAAATTTGATGATTTGTGAATGCTGTTCGCGATTTTCGCTTCTTTTTGGCTTGCGGACGTGATGAAAAGACGTCTAGTTGTGAATCGTCTGGAATAAAGATAAAAATTGATTAGTTTATGGTGATCGATGAGAGATTGTTGGAGTATTAGTTGGAATATTGTGAAACATAAGCAAGAACTCCCTACAAAATTTGAGGTTCTGTCAAAAAGTTCGGTCCAGTTATAAATCATAAATCACAACAAAATCCCTTAAAAATATCCAAAAACTCTTCAAACTCTTAAAAATAGCTCACCATCCTCACCTTCATCATTTGTCTCATCGAAATTTTTATTTGACAATTGAAAAAGTGCATCCAGTGGAGTTCCATTTGGTGATTTATTTCCGTTGTTATTGTTATTTAAACTAGGATGATGATTTAGATGTGAACGTCCTGAATTGTCTGATGATCGTCCAATGTCTGGTGAACAGCAATCTCCACTTGCTACGGAACTCGATCGATCACTTCCACTTTCTGATGGAATTATATCAATATTCATGTGCCTTAACAGCTGTGCTTGTGCATGAAAATGTTCTTGAAGTTGCTGATGATATTCCATAGCTAGTCGTTGCTCATAATGAAGTAAGGCAGGCGGAAGAAGTGGACGAATTGAAATTGGATGTTGTAAATGATCCCATGGCCTCACAATTCTTGCCACTTGCTGATGATGATGCAAATGATTGAGACCATTGACAATTGTAGCTGCTGTAACAGCTGCTTGTGCCTGTGCAGTTGTGGAATTATTTTTATTGGTACTATCACGTCCTAAAATATCAGCTATGCTAAAACTCTTTACACCTTCAACACCCGTCGTCGTTGTTTGTGTCACTTGCGGTGTCACTGTTGATGATGGTGACTTTAAAGAGGAAGTTCGACTAGCATCACTATTGCAATGATTATTATTATCTTCATCATTTGTATGATCATTGACCATTTTGAGACGTTTTAATGGCTGAAAATATTCATCCGATCCAATTTTATGATTATTTCGTCTTTCACATTCAGAGGGCGGTGGTGATGGTGAACCTACTGATATTTCAGAACCAACCGGACTCGGATCACGACTTGAAAATGTTCTTGTCTGCATGACTTTTTTTTTATTCCAGAGATTTTTTGATTTTGTTGATTTTTGATGATTTTTTTTTAATTTTTGAAACTTAGATTTTTGAATGAATTTTAATTTTTTTTGACTTTTTTTTATAAGTTTATTGTTCACAGCATTATAGAGGATTTAAATGCGATTTTTAAAATATTTTTTTTTCTCACAAAAATTTATTCACAAAATAAAATCGTAAATCCACTTTCGATAATATTATTCAATAAATCCTCTTCTTTTTACTTCCAAAAGTAAGTTTATAAATTCACTCAATTAACGCACTCGGATAATTTTTATTCGACTTAACTCTTATTAATTTTAAGATTGATTGATGGATTCAAATTAATACTTTTTTCTCTTCTCCCCTTCTCACTGTGTCTTCTCTTCCTTATTTCCAAAAAAAATAATTATTTTTTTTCTCTTCTCTACTAACGAACCGAATGTTATCACATAAATAAAGAGACTGATTTTGAAGTCTGTCAAGAAAAAAATATTTTTTTTTTCTTCTTTTACTTTCACAAACACGGCAACGATACAGCACACAAATAATCCGAAAATAAATCGTGTTAGAATATAAATCTGACTCCGCCCATTCTCAACACTAGTGTTTGTTGCCAATCACGACTAAATTTCTTCTTTGATTGTATTTTTTAAGAAGCTTTTTTTATGAGCCGAAAAGCTTTTTTTTGATGAAATCTTGCCAGAAAAAAATACTTTAATTTCATTTAATATTAAGTATGTAATGAAAACTTTAATCACGAAGCAATCACACAAAATGAGCAGTTGCCAATTCATGCATGTAAATTAGGTTGAATCGATTGATATCTGGTTAATGTGCTGTCACTAGGTTTTCTTTTTTTACATTTTATTGTTGTTGTTGTTGCTTTTGAGTTTTTCTTTTTATTTAAATCACGATTTTATTTTAAAGTGTCGCTGGATATCCATTTATTTGACTTGTAAGGTAGATTTTTTATAGAGTTTTTAATTTTTTATGATTTTTTTAAAAAAATGTTTAAGTTTAAGGATTTATTATGGTTAAATTCATTTTATTTTTTTTTTGCATTTTTATTTGAATTTTTTTATTTTTTATAGAATTTGAAATGTTTATTTTAATTTCTTTAAAAAATTATCGTTTTTAAAATTCTGTTCTTATTATTATTTTTTGTTTTTTAAAACTTTCAACGTTTTTAAATGGTTTAAACACATATTTTGAATGATGGAAATTATTTTAAAAATAATTTTAAAGTTGTATTAAACAAATTTATTATTTTAATAATTTTGAATTTTTTTTGAAACAAATTTATGATTTTAAAAATTTATAAATGTGCTAAAAAGTATAAAAATAATTTAAAAAAGTTCATTTTTTATTTCACATTTTTGAATTTTTCTTGTTTTTTTAAAATATTCCCGAATTATTGAAAGTTTTTCGAATTTTCGAATCCAAAATAATTTTGAGATTTGAAAGCATTTATAAATTTTATATTTTAAATATTTCAAAATAAATTTTCACAGTCACTTAAAAAATCGTTTAATAACATTTAAAATTTATATCAGCACTACTGTTGATTGTCATTCATTCCAACCTAGTTTGATTATTGTTTGAATATAAAATTTAAGTCGATAAAAATGACTTGACCGATAGCTTTTAATTATCAATTTATTAACCATGAATTAATTATTCGTGACTTTTAATTTATCATGATTTGTTATGAAATTTTAAACTCCTAAATGAAGGTTCAATTAATAATTTTCATTCATGCTCTAAATGACTTTTAGCTAATCTTAAAAAGGTAATGTTAACGATTTATTTGCTTTCCTCGTGTAATTTTATCTTTCAATTTAATATTCTAAGTTAATTTATTTTTTCATTGGCTTGAGAGCTATACGACTTTAAGCTAATTGAAGTTTGCTCAGTGTTATTATTGCTTCCTTCGTTTAACTAAAGTGGATAGTAAAATTTACTTCTTTTGTTTGATAAAAAATATAGTTCTGGCTTTTAAAATTGAAAAAAAATTCATTTATTATTATTATATTCTTACAGTTTCTTAAAAATTAAAATTTATTAAGGTGCAAAATGAATTAGCACAACAAACTTAAATTTCGATAAGTTAACGGTCGTGACTATTAATTGAACATTATTTTTTTTTATTTTTTAAAATAGCTGATTTTCAAGTCTTTTAATTTAACAAATTGGAAGAAAATAAATTTATAATTGTTTGAATTTTTTTATCAATTTTATTTTATTTTATTGAAGTTAAATTAGAATTTTTATATAAATTTTCAAAAGTTGAAATTAAAATTTTTTTAAATAATAATTTTTTGAAATCTAGAAAAAAGATTTGAAAATATAGAAAATTTTAATCTCAAATAAAAAATGATAAGATTATAAATAAATTATTTAAAACATACATTGAAAAAATAAAATCAATATAAACTTTTAAAAAAACATTTTTTTCCAATTTAAATTAAAATTAAAATATTCATTCTCATGTCCAGAAACACATCTAGTTCTATTATTATTTTAAATTATATCTGCATAAAATAATTCCATTTCTCCTTCAAATAATCACGAAAATTCATAACTTTAATGATTGCTATTGCAAAAAAATCTAATTTTTCTTATTTATTGTTCTCAATAATTGCTTCAGAATGTAAAAAGCTAACACAAAAACTGCATTAAAATCCACAGATGATTAGACTTATTATTCCTATATAGTAGCTCTTCTCATGATATGAATATAAAGAACATGATTTCTTAATTCGCCATGCCATCAACATCAAAAAAAAGTCCCTAAATTATTTTGCCAGGATATAAAGTTTAATAAAAATTGTAGACTAATCCATTGCGGACTATAATTTAAAAAATAAAGTTGCATTAAATTTAAGCATTTCATGTCTATATCCATTCAGCCCTATAAAATTATTTTAATTCCATCATATCATGCAATTGAAACTAGTTTATCATTAAGCGCTATTAATTATTATAATGCATGCATATTTATTTAATTCCTATTCATCAACATCCAACCGCACAACAGAACAGAACGGCACTTACAAATAAAAATATATCAGCAGTACTGGATGTAAAAGCAGAACGAATATGAGGGCAATGTGAAACATCTCAATCAAATGACAAAGGAGAAATTATTTCTGGATTTCAATCACACTCACTCGACTTCTTTTTTTTTTCTCTCACTTTTTTTTGGCAATCAATTGAAAATTCATTAACCGCATCGAATTAGCAATTAGGGCATATACAAGATTTACAAGAACAAAATGTGTATCATATTCATTACAATCATTGCTTTTCACACATTTTTTTTGAGGAGGTATTTTTATTTGTGGAAAAATGTATGATTTTGTTGATTTTCTGTCTGGCTGAGTGTGGTGAGTGAGATATTGTAAGATTTCAGGAATCAAACTTAAACAGTCTTTGACGTTATACTGAATGAAAGCGTCAAACTATTGCTTTGTTAAGTTTTGAACCATAGCATTGTTAAGTCTTGAACCCTAGTTAAGTCTCGAACCCTGGGTTTGCTAAGTCTCGAACCCTAGCTTTGTTAAGACTCGAACCCTAGCTTTGTTAAGTCTCGAACCCTAGCTTTGTTAAGTCTCGAAACTTAGCTTTGTTAAGTCTCGAACCTTAGCTTTGTTAAGTCTCGAACCCTAGCTTTGTTAAGTCTCGAAACTTAGCTTTGTTAAGTCTTGAACCCTAGTTAAGTCTCGAACCCTAGTTAAGTCTCGAACCCTGGGTTTGGTAAGTCTCGAACCCTAGCTTTGTAAAGACTCGAACCCTAGCTTTGTTAAGTCTCGAACCTTAGCTTTGTTAAGTCGTGAACCCTTGTTAAGTCTCGAACCCTGGGTTTGGTAAGTCTCGAACCTTAGCTTTGTTAAGTCTCGAACCCTAGTTAAGACTAAAACCCTAGCTTTGTTAAGACTCGAACGCTAGCTTTGTTAAGACTCGAACCCTAGCGTTGTTAAGTCTCGAACCCTAGCTTTGTTAAGTTTCGAACTATAGCTTTGTTAAGTCTTGAACCCTAGGTTTGCTAAGCTTAGGTCTTGCTTTGTATGGTTTAATGAACAGAATCCAAATTCTAGGATTCATTGAAATACAAACTAATATTAATATTTCAAATGCGCTCTATTCCCCTCCCCTTTCTGATTCCTTCCTTACTTTTCCTCCTTTTTGACAATTTTACTGCATCTCTACATGATGACATTTACAACAATGACTTTTTAAACTAAATGTTTGTTAAATAGACTCTAAAAATGAAGTGTGAAGTGCCATAAATATTTTACTCCATACGATTTGGAGTAAAAATCTATTCAAAATGATAAATGAGACCTTAATTGATTTGAAAGTAAATTTTTATTTGATGTTGATTTTAAAAATTTAGAGCAGATGCTACTTTTTTTTTGGCAATTGAAGATGTAGCTAATGATGATTGTAAGTTAGACTCGGATGATTGATAAAATTTAATAGGATCGGTAATTGTCAGTGAAGAAGATTGATCAAAAAGTTAATTTGATGAGGCTTTAATAAGATTTCTTAGGGTAATTGTGATTTCGTGTTGATGAATATTGAGAAATTCGGTAGTAATGATATTGCCATTTAAGTTTGATGATTGTGCTACTGTGTATGACTTGTTGTGGATTAATGGCAGCTCATCATTTGGGTTACGTTCGAATAGTAATGACTGGGAAGGTTTTAGATTGATGGATGATTACTGTGACTTGGTAGAGTTGAATTTGGGATAATAAACTACTATGAGATTATTATGGCAGCTATAGAGAAGATTCTCTGAGTGCTATGGTCGGTTGGCAATAAACTAGCAATCAAATTTGATCTTAATTCGAGTTCGAATCTCATCAGGTAGTCTTGAATACATCCAGGCAGTAAGGAAACTCACAATTAAGTGCTGTAAGACTTAAAAGCAGCCAAATTGAGATCCTAGACAGAAATAAAATTTTTGTAGTGTCACGAATCTATCTTAAATGTCAAATTTGAGTCTAAAGGTCCCATGAATCAGTGCTCAACTCAACTACCAACCAATCAGTGTCTGGTCGGTCTCTATCTCATCATCTTAATCTCATGTTATTTAGCCAAACCAACGTGACCAAAATCATCTATTTGACATACATATCTCATCAAAATCATCTCAATTTTCATTATTTTTTTTTTATAAAAGAAGCTAAGACAAAATTCGCTAATAATCTCAACATCATCATCATCGTCATCATCATCACAAAAGTGAATTAATTTAATGAATTAATTAAACTCAGTTGTCAGTTAACGCCCATTTAATTACACTTAATTGCACATAAATCTGTCTTATTATGCCGACTGACTGAACAGTGCTTTGAAAATATACAAAAATAAAAAAATTTGAATAAAATTTGCATTTTTTATATTCAACTACTGGCTGGGTAATTCACAATTCTCTCA